GTATATATATATATATATATATATATATATGTATATATATAATATATGAAATTATTTTATTTATTTAATTTTTTTTTTACCACTAATTTCTAACGAAAAGATAGTATACACCAGACACAACAAGCATCCACACAAACAATACAGAAGCAAACAAACAAAACAACACAAAACACAACAACGTAAGGTTTCAGATGCATCATAAAGACAGAGAGAAAGCAACGAAACAAAGTGCGAAGAAAGAAGCTTTCAGCTGTATGTATACAGTGCGGTGTTTGTCTAAGCTGCGGTGTACATACACCGCAGCATACATATAAACTGCTGCGTATGTATACACTGCAGTGTATGTACACCGGAATGCTGCAACGCACCGCATTGCGCCGCCACAAGTTTCTTCAGGTCCCCCACCGTGTCGTCTGGGTTGCACTTAACCCGTATTTTGCGGCCGAGGCGGTCGTTCAATATAACTTCTATCATCGTGTGGCGGCGTCAGGGAGAGTAGCGGGGTGTGAGGGGAGAAAGCAGAGTAATAAATCCCTTTTTATTTGTATTTTACCTGAAAATAACTGAAAAAATAACTGCTACATTCTCTTATACTCGTGCTTTCCTCACCCATTGACGCGGAGGAGAGAGCGGCTGTGCATGCAACGGCCGCTCCACGGCCGCGCAGATGGAAGCCGTTTATATTCAGGCTCTGGGTTAGGCCGAAATTAATTATTTTTTTGGGGGAAAAAACCTCACAGTACACTAATTTGATAAATAAAATATAATATAAACCCGTATTCCGCTTTCAACTCAGCTTCTGGTGTACGTACACCGCAGCTCCAGCTGGTGGCCCCGCAGCAACTGAGGACTGACGGACCAGAGCCCTGAAGGCCGCCGAACCGGCGCGTACAGGAGGCTTTTGCGGAGTGTATGATGAGCCTATCGGCGGCAAAATCTTGAATTGTGGTATTTATTAGTATATACTTAATTAAATTCCTCTTTATCCTCACTTTCAGGTGTATTTACACTCCATAAACTGCCGCGGTATCTGTGCGCGATGCGGCGGGCGCCGCCACGCCCTGGGGATGCTGCCCTGAACTGTTGCAATTCGTGAAGAAAGAAACGGACTTCTTTGGCTCCGGCTTGTGAACGAAAGTATAAATATTGCTTAAAGTAAAAAGGATCTGCAAAAATGCAGCTTTTAAATGGCAGGTTTCCGTCAAGCCCAGCCGATCGGGAGGCTCGGGCAGTCGTATTCAGGTGGAAACCTCTGCGTTTTTCATCATTGTTTTTAATTATTTTGTTTAGTTTGACATTTCAAGCTTTCTGTAAACCCGGTAAGCTATTTACTCCTCAGTTTCACGATTTCAACTTCCCGCAGAGTTGGGGTGTATAGGCAGCTGACCACAGGATCTAGTGGTGGACTGATTGCAGCTTTCCGCGCCGCCGTTCCGGCGGAATACTACAATAAAGTGTTTTATAAAACATCAAAATACTTTCTTCAGTTTATAAATAAACTCATCACTTATATATTTTGCACGTTTTCAGTTTTTTTCCTGCATTTCCCTCCCCCTTCGTGCCGAAACCTGCATTGTGTGGTGGTGGCGTTTCAGGGTGCGGTGCTACCAGCCTGCTGATGTTTCCGCTTTTTACACGATCATATATTTGAGTATACAGAGTTTATTCTTTAAACTTTCTCTTTGTTTGTTTTGCTTCAGAAGATAGAAACGATGTTCCTATCCTAGAGGATGCTGGCCAGCTTGGTAAGCAACAGCCTTGGGGGAGAAAGAAGAACGATCATGCACGAAATCTTTTTTTTTCTTGATTATTATTCTTTTTCTTTGATTTTTTCAGCGTTTTCATACAACTTGCATGCATGCTTTCATCCATACACCATTATATATCTCTTTTTTGCTGCAGGCTTTCCCCCTCCTCCTCCTCCTGTTGCTGTTGACGTGGCAGAGAGCAACGAAAACACACAAGGAAACAATTTATATAACA